ACAGTCCCTGTTTCTATCTTCATTCATCTCACTACCGGTTCATCAAATATGATTTGTGAAATTATTTTAGCAATCTTAAATACTTATTTCTCTGTAGTGCTGCAGAGATCAAAGTTCCGGCTAGAGGGAAAGCTCTTATTCCCACTGATCTCAGCATTGCTATACCAAAAAATACTTGGGCACGAATCAGTAAGTGTTTAAAGGATTTGAGTTTGACAAGAAAAAATTTTGTGGATATTATGTAGATAGTAGTTTGCAGTTACATAATATGCATGCATTTCACTTAAATTTTATACATAAAATTAATAGAGTTTTTAGACTTTCACACCTAAAAAAGTCTTTGCTAAGAAGATATTGCAGTCTTTATATACTGACGAGAATCTATTTTTGTTTTTGCTGGAAATGAAAGTTGGACAATTTGTAGTTTGAGTTATGATTTATTTTTTAAATTTTATTCTCTTTACTTGCTGTTTAAGAAGTTAATGAGATCAATCCTTTATTTATTTGTCAACTAAACTTGATAAGTATTGAATGTTAGATGCAAATGTCATTTCTCCTGAAAAATAAGGATAATTTACATCTTGTCTAAATTTTTTCCCCTGCATTCTATCTTCATTTTTTATAGATATCAATTCAAAATAAAAATTCATTTTCATTTTGTTCTAATAACTTAACATTTTCTCCAATTTTTACTCCTAATTTAAGGTTAAGTTTATCCTTTATCTGTTTACTTGCCTTTAAGATGCTTGATGAAATGAGCGTTTGTTAAAGTTTCTCTTTTTTTCAAGCTTCGAGATCAGGATTAGCATGGAATCATTCGATTGACGTAGGTGAAGAAGTTATAAATGCTGATTACAGGGGATCTGTTGGTGTTATATTGAACAACAATTCAGATTTGAATTTTCGCATTGCTCAGTTGATTATTCATAAGATTGTAACTTCAGATACTGTTGAGACTAAAGATCTTGATTCTACTATTCGTGGAGCTGGCGGATTTGGATCAACTGGGCTTCGAAATTTCCACATCAACTGTGCGCTTCGTCTACAAAATCCAAAGAGGGTGAATCCTTCTTCATTCATCTCGCTTCTAGGTCAAATCCATGAACAATCTCTTCCGGTTCAGAACAGCATGGCGGACGAAATCTACAAACCTTGTTGTAAAATCGCTAAACTCTCCGAAGAGGCACCTCTCAGCCTCTCCTTCAAGGTAAAGAAGCTTTCTTCCAATGCCATATTGCCTTTCAGATGTTCTTCTCTTTCTGCTGGATATGATCTCTCCAGGTAAATTTGGTTTCCTCTAATTACTTTTTCCCTATTTGCAAATGGAGGCGACCATTTATTTTAGCAATCTTAACTACTTCTTTCTCTGTAGTGCTGCAGATGTCAAAGTTTCGGCTAGAGGGAGAGCCCTTATTCCTATCGATCTCAGCATTGCTATACCAGAAAATACTTATGCACGAATTGGTAAGTGTTTCAAGGATTTGAGTGACGGGAAAAAATTCCGTGGATATTATGTAGATAGTAGTTTGCAGTTACATAATATGCATGCATTTCACTTAAATTTTGTATATAAAATTGATAGAGTTTTTTGAAATTCTCACACCAAAAAGTTTTTGTTGAGAAGATATTACAGTCTTTATGTACTGATATAATTTCATTTTTGTTTTTGTTGGAAATGAAAGTTGGACAATTGTAGTTTGAGTAATGAACTTTTTCAATAATTTTTATTCTCATTACTTGCTGTTTAAGCAGTTAATGGATCAATTCTCTATTTATTTGTCAGCTAAACTTAAGAAGGATTGAATGTTGAATGCAAATTTCATTTCTCCTGAAAATAAGGATGATTTGCATCATGTCTAAATTTTTTTCCACTGCATTCTATCTTTATTTTCTATAAATTTTAATTTAAAATGAAAATACATTTTCATTTTTTTTTCTAATAACTTCACATTCTCTCCAATATTTACTCCTAATCTAATATTAAATTTATCCTTTACCTGTTTACTTGCCTTTAAGATATTTCACAAAATGGGCGTTTGTTAAAATTATCATTTTTTTCAAGCTCCGAGATTAGGACTGGCATGGAAGCATTCGATTGACGTGAGCGCAGGTGTTATAGATGCTGATTACAGGGGATTTGTTGGTGTTATACAGTCCAACCGTTCATATTTAGATTTTATGGTGAAGCTTGGTGATCTCATTGCTCAACTGATTATTGAGAAGATTATAACTCCATATGTTGTTGAGACTGAAGATCTTGATTCTACTATTCGTGGAGCTGGCTGATTTGGATCAACTTGGCTATGAGTGAATATCAAATTATCTCAAATTATATATTTTATTTTAATTTGTGGAAATGTAGCTACTGAATTTCGTATTCTTATTAATTTAACATCTAAATATATGTCTTTATATTTTCACCACCTAACTCTCTTCCAAAACATATTAAATTTCATTATCAAAGACATTTTGTGTTACAAACAAATACACACATTTAAATACATGTGTATTTGTTTAAATACATGTGTATTTTTTTAAATACACATTTATAGTAATACACCATTGAATTAACATTGGAATTAGGAAAGGAGTTGCTTTTTAGAGAAATTGGTTGAGTGCCCTTTGAGTTTTGCCTATAAAATATTGAGTGCCCTTTCAATTGCATCTTTTAGTGGCATCATGAACTTTAGATTTTTAGACATTGGCATCCAAGCATTTTGTGAAATATCAATTTTTATCTTTCGACATGCTTCCATGTGTTCTTTGCTGGCATCAACTGTTCACTTTATTGTGCTGTACTTCACTCCGTTACCTTCTTGGATGCTTTGTTTTTTTTTTCTGTTTGCTAAAAGTTGCGCTATCTTTTACAGAAATTAGTGGTGAGGGCCTTAGGATTCAAAAGAATATATGAGCGAGATTGCCAAGTACCATTGTTTTTTGTTTTTTCGTGGTGTGGGGTGGTATTCATTTAGATACGTACCGCCCAATAACTATGTATTTACATATCTAGCATCTAAAGTTTACTTTTTACATTTATAAGACCCAAACCTTACATATCACATCAGAATACCACTTATTTATCTTTAGAAAGTAAAATACACCTTTTCAGGCATAGGTGAGGTTGTTTTTATGTAAAAAAATGAAGTTTAGGTGTTAAATATGTAAATATATAGGAATTAAGTGGCATGTATGTAAATCTTCCCTTTTTTTTTTGGTTTCCTATGAGTACTGAATTTCGATGCAATGACTTATTCCTCACGCCAAAACCTGACAAGTATTTAAATTGGGGAAAAGTAGCTACCGAATTTTTTATTCTTATTAATTTTGCATCTAAATATATGTATTTATATTTCCACCACTTAACTCACGCAAAACATATTAAATTTCATTATCAATAACTTCGTGTGTTACAAAGAAATACACACATTTGCATACATGTGTATTTGTTTAAATACAAATTTATTGTAATACGCCATTTAATTAACATTGGAATTAGGAAAGGAGTTGCTGTTTAGAGAAATTGATTGAGTGCCCTTTCAGTTTTGCCTACGAAATATTGAGTCTTTAAATAATATGGACTCTTTGATTTCTGGTTTTCCTACATAGCTCCTGAATACGCCTTCAGTCTTGCCTATGAAATATTGAGAAATTGATTGATTGGCATTGATGTTTTCATCTGACGTGAGCATAAAAAAAGTTAATTGGCTAGATTTTTTCTATTTGTAATAGTCTTGCAAGATATTTAGCAAATACTACATCCAAGCATAAAGAAAATTTTGCTGGTAGAGCTAATATTAATCTCAAAACTATCAGGTGCCACTTCTACAAAAACAAGAGAGTAGATTTTTCACAACTAAACAATAAGCTCACTGATGGATTCCATGAGCAAAACATTACATAGCCTGATTAATTGAAGCAAAGCTGTCAAACTAGAAACTATTAGTAATACTATATGAACTGAAAGTCTTTATGATTAAAGTTCTTTCTCATGCGATCAAAAACTTAAACCTTTCGGTTTACTATTTCAGTTTCTTTCATCTCGAAGCGGGATTATCTATGTTCTGTAGCAGAGATTCTCAAACCCTATATGATCTTTCCTATCCAGCTTCTCAACCATGTTTGCTATACCAACTCCACCTGTAGAGGGTGAAATAAAAACAAAAACTAGTAAATTTTGCCAACTTTATTACGATAAGATTTGGATTATTATGTAAGCCGTTACCTAGGCTTATAGCACTGACAAATATGGTTAGTGCCAGTATGAAAATAATCAATGATGCCCGGCCAAGTAGTATTATAAGCTTCCTCACAATGTGTTGACCCGTGAAAGCCGCGACGGTGGCAAGAAATACGAAATAGGATGCTGCATCATATAAGAAGTCAAGTCTTTTTTTATCATGAAATTATGATAATGAGGATTTGGATTTCAACATTTGAGATCTTGCCTTAACTAATTTCTTACCGTATGGAACAGGGAAGCGGTCGAGAAGGTAGTATTGAATGACGGACATGGATGATGAGAATGTCATTGCAAATGTTGATGTTGCACTTGCAACCTGCCGCACCATTTGAATATTGCGAAGTTATTCTTCATCATCTTAACTTTCCTGCTACTTGACTTCTATCTCCTTTCATTTTGGCAACATTTAGTTGTTTGCATTTATTTCTTTTTTCAAATTTTTTTTTTTTAAATTTCAACAAAGATATATAATCTGGTATGATCAGCAGTATTTAGATTTATTTTCTTCTTATTAAGAAAGCTGTCAAAATGATGACTTGACCAATTACAGTGACAATTTTGTTTCAGTATATATAAAAATGTCAAACCAGTCCTTATATTTTTTTAATAGGGGATAAAATAGTCTTTTCATTAAAAGAGGCTTGGGATTATTTCAAGTTATATAATCTCTGGATGAAACATACAATTTTATATATTTTGCACCTAAAATGGCTCCTTATAAAGAGCCAGGGAACCCTTTTAGCACTTTTTCTTATCATTTAGTTTCATAGCAAATGTCAACAAACAAAGCAATATCAATGTTTTAAACGGTCAGGTAATGAAACATTGTATGCAAGCTAAGATGAAATAAATAATAGATGAATTTTAAATGTTGCAAAAATAGTGGAACCTGAGGGGGGACTCCCATCTCAAGGAACAAAGGTCCTAATATGAATCCTCCTCCAAGTCCAAGTAAGCCTCCAACTATCCCAGCTAATACCCCAAAGCAGCAGTAAAGAAAAAGTTGAAGCCCTTTCCAACATATATTTTGCTTTCCTCTGGAGGCAATTTTTCTCCTCCCTTTGATAAGGCTTGCAGCTTCATAGATTGTAACTGATAAAGCTATAGGCACCTGCATGAAAAAACCGTAAATTATCTGTTGCTTTCATGTTGGGCACATAGAATGATTTGGCGTGGATACAAAGGAAAATGGAGTGTCAATTATACGAAATTTTGATGCCTTCTCTTATTTAATGACTTGGAAGTATCAGAAGTTAATTCAAATAGCATATTAAAATATTTTAAACATTTATTGGGCATGGATGAGAATGAAGTTGGGAGCAAAGTTTGAGGAAGTAAGAGAAATCAATGTGATTAAATTTACAGATTAGAACTCTTATGCGTGAGTTAGAAACCAAATAAAGTTGCAGAAACTGAAAAATAGTGCTACTTCAAGAAATTCAATGTCTATGCCCCAGTAAACTCTAGTAAAATTACTACTAGAAAAATTCATATTGATTTCTAATTATTTCTTATCAAAATAAACAATTTGGTTGGTTTGTAAAGATGCAATTATTTTTCTTCAAGAACAGATGATTATCATGCATAACTAATGATATTCCCTCACCAAGCTTCCTTAAGGACTCAAATTAAACTGACTGGCTGTCTTACAATCTTACCTGCAAGATATTCAGAATCCAGTATTCCACAGAACAAGTTGTGGCATAGGTCTGCACGATTATTTTTCAAGCAAATGTGTCATTAAAATCCCATAGAAAGAATCATTAAAATTCTATTGATGTATGAGAGAGTATATTTAAAAAAAAAAACTGTGGTAGGATAATATGTAATATTAACAATTTAAAATTTTTTCACAATTTTAAGATGAGTCAGATCTCACCTTAACTATTTGCACAGCAAGGAATGCCACCCACACAGACAGAAGCACCATGAGCTCCTTCCAGAGAATATTATCCTTAATTGGAACCTTAAAATGATGAATAGCATAGAGTGATAATATTATATAGTTGCGTTTTAATATTTGAAATTATTTGTGTGACATGAACCTCATCATCCATGGAAGATTTGAGCTGCATGTTACTAGCTGGACCTCCTGGGACTGGCTTGTACTCCTGTTCTGTCCCTTCCAAAATCCAATACGAGTTATCTAATTCATCTTCCGCTTAAATTATGCTAATTTTATTTATATTTAGAAATCTTAAAATTTGTACATATTCATTTATGTTAATGTTGTGATATTATTATTAAGAAATCAGAAATGAATATTAGGATACTTCTGACAAGAATTGTTTGTTGTGGATATTTTACATAAACTTACCTTCCAAGTTTGATGATGAAGCCAACAATTTTGTTGCTTCCTGGCAAAGTAAGCTTAAGCTTGATAAGTGGATGAATATTTGATATAATTTGATAGCACTGAGAGCAGAAATTTACCTTTTTCATTACTGATTCTTTCTTCCATGTTTCTATACCTTTAAAGAGTGCTTTGGTGGAAGTACCTACAACATAGCATATCAATCATTTATTTATCAGTTATATTTTGTTTAAGGTTGGTAGTTTTTGGTTGAAATAAAATTTTATATAGAACTAGAGAATATTGATGATCATATAAACAATTAAGTTGATCATACAAAATCTCCATGATTAAATAAAATACGAGTAAGGTATCAAAATAATCCTTGGACTATATATATGTGGTCATTTTAGTCCCAGAGTTTATAAAACTGTTACATTAGTATCTGCTCATTTTTAATTGGGGCTAAAATAGTCGTCAGTAAGAATTATTTCGACCCCTATTAAAAGAATCCGGCTACTAAATTAATAGTTTTATAAACTCAGACTAAAATTTTCCACTACGAAGAGTCAGGATATCATTTTGACACTTTTCCCAATTAAATATATATTAGATGTCATAAAATCCATCATATTCATTCACCTAAGAATAGTATGATAAGAAGTACAGTAACCATCCAATCTGGAAACATAACATTGAAGGCAACACCAATACTGATACCAAGCATGAGCATTGGCTGAAACAACAAAGCAAGATCATAATCAATGATAGGCAAATCCATTGTAGGATGCCTCAGCCTCAGATTGTAGTAGACTGTCGATCCAGCTGCTCCCATTATCATACCTATAATACCAATTCACAAGCACTTAATAGCTGTAGAACTTTTGAAGTTTTATTTTGTGAATTCGCTTAGAAAACCCACATTTTGAGATGGCGGTCGAGGTTTTTGGATCAAACCCGATGATCAGAGTAAGCATTGGAACGAAAATCCCGCCGCCTCCAACTCCACCGATGCTGCCGAGAGCGGCACCGAGAAAGCCAATGACAGAACCAAGCACAACCCTCCAGCCAAACTCCATGTCCTGAGCCATGCTCATCAAAGCTTACGTAATTTTTTTTTTTTTTGTGCATTTACATGCATAGCACACAATTCTTATATATTTGCATATCTGAAATCTAAACTTTCATATTTACTCACATGACACTCGATTTTTAGTATCATATAAATAGTACTATTACAACTTTTTAAACCTTTTCATGCACATGTTTAGAGAACCTAAGTGTTACATGTGTAAATACATAAGTTTAGTGTGCCAGGTATGTAAATTTACCTTTTAATTGTTATCAGATACAGAAACAAGAAGAAAAGAACCAGAGGAGGAAATCATACTGGCCAAACACGAGTGGTGGAGTCTCCAGGCTCAAAAAGAGCACCAAAAGCATTTGCGAAAAGGTGTCTGTATGCTTCAAATGTAGTTTTATTGTGATTTTCCATCTCAGATGAGATTGGCCTCTTTGCTTGAGCAATCTTGTGATCCAAAACCAGGCACAGAAAGAACAGTAGTGAAAGCCACCACCATGCTCTCTTCTGCTTCCACTCAGCCATCAATGGAGTCCCTTCCTCAAGTTCTTTCTGTTTCTACTTTGTAAGAAGGATTGATGAAATGAGAAGGTTTTCAGTTTCTCTGATTTAGTGGTTATAGAGAACGAAGATGGATGGATGGCTTCTCTAGTCTCTTCCTTCAATCATATATTCTTCTTTTATTTCTATTCCTTTCTTGGAATATTTACATACATACCACTAAATTCAAATCAATTTACATACCTAGCAATTAAAACTTTCAATTTTTACATGCATATCATCGTACCATGCATGAAAAGGCCTCTTTCACTTTTTAAAAGTTAAAATTATGATATTTTGTATGTGTTATGAAAGATTTGAGTGGTACAAATGAAAAAAACGCAAAGTGTAGGTGTTAATATGTAAATTCATAGGAATCAGGTGGTATGTATGTAAATCTCCCCTTTGTGTGGCTATTCGGACGTTCCGCTGCTTTGCCAGGCAATTTCCTGAAGTTTTAGTGATGGAAATGGTGTTCCTCGTTTTTCTTGTAAGTACGATATCATTTTGATTGTAAAACACAGTTGATTCAGGTCGCTCTGCGGTAGGTGCTTGGGATCTTCCTGCCTGTTCTAATTATTCATTTAATTTTTATTTTATGTTTAATTAAGAAGACTCGCTAACTGTAATCTATACATTTGATTTTTTAATTAAGGAATAACTCCTATTAATACAATTTATTGCTATGCATCTAGATGTTTCCTTAAAAAACCATATTGCCAATTCCACATGACCTTCCTTAACACGACAATAATAAATAATGCAATCGAATGTAATTTCCTTGTTTTGATTAGTTTCAGTAACTTGCATTTGAGTTTAGACTGAAAAAGAAAATAAAATTTATGAGTTTATGTTACTTCATTAGCTATGTTTTCATTATGACAGAGGTATAGAAAGAAATTAGCTCAAAATGTCATCTTGAGTTTTGATGAATTGTCAAGAAATTTTTATCAACTCGCATAGAACTTAGAAATATTTTTTTAATAATATATATTTCATATTCAAATTCAGGATCATTATGGTTTCTAATTTTAATAATTTTGTAATCAAAATAATCGTGTCGACAAGACAAACCAAATGATACTGCAACTTACGACTATCATCTCTGTGCTAGGCTGAAACTATTAACTACGAACTATGTGACCAACAATGACCTATGTGATTAATAACTACTGTAATTTTCAATTATTACCTCTGTCCAACCGAAGCTACTGTAGTCACCAATTAGGGTCTCCGTGACTGACCGACGCTATCACGATTTTCAACTATGACTTTTGCGGTCAACTACCACAATTACAATCACCGCATATGGCAAATGCGATTAACTGTTGTTGTTGTAGTCACCGAGTGCATCTTTTATGACCAACTAAAATTTTTGTGATTAACTATTACTATTAAGACAAATAATAATCTCTGTGGTAGCCCAATTATGACTATAATTGCTAAACTACTAATATATATATATTAAAAAAAAGAGTGAACCCATTTACTTACAGCCATATATTGTATTATTTTGATTTGACCAGACGTGAATATTTACTATGTGATTTTTATCAATTTCATGATGTTTTCATTTAAAAAACCTCATTGTGAGTTGGATCTTCGTGCAATTCTAAGATTTTAAATATCTCTACACCGCCGTGAATATTCCGACAGGCAGTTAGTTTTAAAGTATATAATTTTATTTTAAAATAACAATAATCTAAATTTGGATTAATTTAGCACTCATGATAACATTTAAAATAAATTTATATTTTTATACATTATACAATATTTTTCGTATGTTTCATAGAATGACACGCCCCATTCTCTAAGTGACTTGAGCACGAACTTAATGTTATTTTTCCATCAACCATGTTACAAACAAAGTCTTGGATATCAAATTGAAATTTAGAGCAAACTCTCGTCACAAAATAAATTGGGGGCAAATTACATGCATAACACCTAAAATTTTGCTATTTACAAACTTGACATCCTATTTCATCCCATTTTCAAATTCTCACTCAAATAGAAAATAAAACAAAGCCAAATCATAACTTATATTTTTCCTTTTTTTCAAATATTTAATGATTTAAAAAATCAATTGAGTGCTATTTTTGTAAATAATAATGTTTTGAGTGTTATGTATCTTATATATATATATAAGATGGTTTGAGAATTACCCTCTTTATGATGACCCTGCTGACAGTTTTTTATCCTGTGTTAGGTCTCCTGTACACGATACTGAAGGTTGTCTACGGCTGCCCCTCGAAACTAGTCAGGGTCGGAGCCCTGATTCTCAGCCCCTCTACCAAAATCCTTATTCCAAACTCTGATTTTTCATATACGTGCCACCTAACTTTCTTATATACATGTGTTTTGTGTATGTTTAATCTTTCATCATATTTGATATTATTTTGCCCATTTTGTGTGCTAACTTGATGGGCTTCTGATATGATATTGGGCTTCAGGACATCTATTGACAATGTAAATAGAATATTTTCAGCAATCATTGATGGTCCAAATCAAACTATTATAATGCAATTTAAATTAAAATAAAAAGCTTTTTTATCGTCTTTGATTGGGGCATTTACATAAAAATCGCCCTGTTTATGTGTATTTATGTATGTAGCATCTAAATTTATTTTTTATGACTAACAACTGAATTTTTTATTTCTAAATATGAACACATAGGAACTTAGTGATTTGTACCTTAGTGCCATGAAGTACAATTTTCATTATTTTAATGGTTGAATAATTTTATTCTTTATTTGCTTTTCTTATAATTCTTTGTCTAATAGAAAATTCATACTTGTAGAGTGACCAATTAATGTCTTAGTGTTGCATGAAAATTCAACACACATAAATAATATAAAATGTACCAATATTTTTTACATGAAAAATCTAAAGAAGGTAGCACAACAAATGTAATTTACTATAAATGTGCAAGTACAAATGTATTTTTTTCTTATGACTTGGAGAGCGGGGTTACCAGATACAACACTTTTTGACATACATCATATAGAAAAATGCAAGAGTTGAAAATAATCTCCAAATTTTGCTTACGATGATCGTTAATGGTAGTTCCTAATAGCTAGAATAAAGTGGTGATGTTGGTAGGTGGCTATGAAGATCAAAATTATAACCATGTTTTCAATATGATATTATCTTTTACGATCATATTTGGAATACGATGTTAGCAACTAAGATTCACTGAAGACGATGAGCAGGGGCAACCGACAATAGTCAACGACAACTGATTGTTGGTGGTCGACGGTGGTCGGAAGTAATATGACATTATACATTATGACAATGTTTAGGATACAATGTAAGTAAGCAAGAGTTGCCAATGGTGGCCAGCAGAAATAACAATAAAACAGCTCTCCAATTATAATTGTGGTGAGGATCTGAAACATAATATAATCAGAAAGTTGTTCCAAAAAGACCTTTAATTCTCTAATTATCATAAATTTTCTTATCAACATTCATTACAATATCAAATATCCTTGTTAGCACCAAATGCCTCTAAAATATGATCACTTATACCTATTTTTTTCATCCACTTAGAGATGCCTTTCATCCATTGATTCCATGTCCTTATATTAACTTAAATAGAAGGTAAGTTGGATGATACATCCTCTTTAATTTATCTTTCTACAAACAAAAAAAAACAATTTAAGGAGTATTTCATTCAAATCTTTGAATGAAACAAGTTGAATATTGACTAATCCGTTAATCAAACCAACATATGCCAATAATATTTAAATTCAAATTATATTTCAACCGAACAAATCAATAAACCAATGAATTACAAGTGTACCCATTTGTTTCATTAATGTCAGCTAACTGTTTATACCTTGACACTTTCCCATGACTCTATCATGAAAAAAGACAAATTTAAATGCATGCGTTGTTAAATATTAAGTGGTTGGGCGAATCAAGTTTTCATATAAACCATATGATATTTTGATTAAATAAAAAATTGCTGAAATCAACTTGATTTACACCTCTTTCATATTCCGCCGGACCTAGCCATCATCGTGGAGACTCACAACCCACGGTTTCTGGACTTTTAGTTGATTGGGGGCCCACATAACATAGGATAGTTTTTTCTTAATGGGCCACTTCATGTTGTATTCAGAAAAGGACAAGATTGTCCGAAAATTTATGAAAATAATAATGATAAGAACAATATCATGAATGGATTTGTCAAGGCGATGACGCGTGAGGAAAAACATATGGTAAGGTTTTTTTTTTAATTATTATTATTATTATTATTTGGAGATGAAAGAAAGTAGGGTTTGATGGTGATGGGCGCACATATAAGAGACAAAATGATGAAGTAAGCATTGCAACCTTCCAATATATATATATATATATATATAAATGATTCCATGGTGGAGGTGGAGGTGGAGGAGGCGATGAGGTTGATCTAAAGGAGTGTCAAATCGTATTCGGGGGTCGGTTTGAGGTTTGATTTGAACTTGACTCGAGACAAATCCGATTTGAATATTAGGTAGATCAAAAAGTCTAGCCTAAATTAAACGGGCCAAGATTTTTAACTATTATTCGGGCCAACATGAACCCAAATTTTTCGAGTCAGGTTTGAGTCGAGTTGATGTGTCAGGTTAATGTTTGATACCCCCTAGCTCCAGTGGCGGTATGAGAGAGGCATATTCTTTTTATAATTTTACCCTTTTTAATCTTAATTTATGTGGAATCTAAGGCTCTAGCAAGTTAGTGCATTATATTTTTATAAAATATTTACATATGTATCACAAAATTCTTATGTAATTTCATACCTAACATGGAAACTTTCTATTTTATATTTATAATTAATTAACTATGCATAAAATGTTTTGTTTCACTTTTAAAAAGTTAGCTATAGCTATATTTTTTTGATGTAATATGAAAGATTTTAGGGTTATAAATATAAAAAAAAGACTTAGTTATTTATATGTAAATACATACGAATGGTGTGGTATATATGTAAATGCCCCCGTTGTGTCTTTATTGGTGTTCTAATTTGGAGGACTTTTATGGAGAATATTTGCATGAAAGGGGCGTGGTCTCAAACTAAATATATTTAATTTTTAAACGTCTTTATGTAAGAGAAAATTATATATATATAAATATATATATGTATATATATATACATATGTATATGTACATACATATGTATATATGTGTATATACATATGTATATATATGTATAT